GTGTGTGTGTCTGTGTGTGTGTGTCGTACGTGACGTATGTTCCTCTCAGGTTGATTCCCAGCATCAGATCCACCTTCTTCATCGGCGTCTCCAGAGTTCCTGTCAGACTGATGGCGCTGGCATTGTTCACCAGGATGTCGATACCTGCCAATCAAACACAAGCACTGTGGTGATGTCACAGCAGGGGGGGGGGGGCATCATCATATGACCTGACCCTGGATAACTGTAATCAGTCCAGTACCTCCAAACCTGTCGACGGCTTTCTGCACAGCTTCTCCGACCTGCCGCTCGTCACGGATGTCGACCACGCAGGCCAACGCCTTCCCCCCCACCGCCTCCACTGTAACACACACACAATACACAATACACACATTAACACACACACACACACACACGCGACAGTGACAGTTGTGGTTATCTGACGTTGGGTTGTGGGGATCTGTATTTTCCCACCAAAACAAATCCTGATTCACTGACCTGCAGCTGCGGCGTGATACAGTGCGTGCTGTACGTGTGCTTGTGCGTAGGAATACAGAAGTTCAGCGGTTGAGAAAATGTAGTACCAAAGGAAAGTGCTGCTTTTTTTTAAGTATATTTTTTGGGGCTCTTTTATACCTTTATTTGATAGCACAGTAGAGAGAGACAGGAAATGGGGAGGCAGAGAGAGGGAATGACATGCAGCAAAGGCCGTCCAATGCAGGACTCGAACCGGGGCCGTCTGCAGCGAGGACTGTGGCCTCTACACATGGGGCGCCTGCTTAGACCACTACGCCACACGACGCCCCAGAAAGTGCTGTTTTAACGGGTAGATAAAGATGAAAATCTTCCACATGAAGCTTCATTTAAACAGAACAAAAGTGTTTTCTGCTGGCCCCGCCCACAGCAGTGATGTCATCGCTCTGCTAGTGTATCGGTCCTCCTGCTGCTCTTCTAAACTGAATCTACTGCAGGAAACACACTGACTGTACATGACGACCTCACACCCCCCATGTCTGATAAACACAATTATCACTTTACACCGTCACAGCTGGAACTGTGTGTTTGTGGTTCTGACTTTTCAGGCCTTTAGTAACAAGTCAAACACACTGTGTTTACTTCATGTTTATTATTTACAGTGTTAAATATTTACACTGGGCGAGTCACCAGCTTGTTGTCTTGGTAACTGACATTTGTGTGTTTATGAGAGTAAACAGTAGCCTGTGAGCCTGTTAGCCTGTTAGCTCCTCACCCTCCTGCGCGGCAGTATAGATGGTTCCTGGTAGTTTGGGGTGTGGCTCGGCGGTCTTGGCAGCGATGACAATGTTGGCTCCATCTCTGGCGGCTTTCAGTGCAATGGCTTTACCAATCCCCCGACTCGCCCCGGTGATGAAGAGCGTGCAGCCCGCCAACTTCCTGAAACACACACAAAACCATACAGGTAACACAGCTGTGCTAAGCTAGGCTAACCACGGCTCTGAGCCCCGTCCTTTCATCAGACTGTTTAACTGAAACCTGTCGACCATGTTACACTGCGGCTGAAACACCAGGAAGTTACTAAAAACTATTTGAAGTTGATGATTCGGTTTCATTTTTAAATCAAACAGTGAAAATGTCAAATGTCTGACTCCAGCCTCAAACGGTTTCCTGTCAGTTTGAGGCGAAACAAGACATTAGCAGTCGTAACCATCGACTGTTTATCACCATGGTTACTGTTTTTAATGTCTCACAGGTGGATGAATATGTGATTAATTAACCTGATGAAAATTAGAATCACCTCTTCCACTCAGACTAGTTCCAGGTCACATCCTGTTTGTCCCGAGTCGCTGAAAATATTAAACATCAGTGTGAAATTTGGTCACAATTGCTGCGAAGTCTTGAGTTATGGCTAAAAAGTGTTTTGTGAGGTCACACTGACCTTGACCTTTGACTTTGACCCCCATCTAATCAGTTTGTCCTTGAGTCCAAGTGAGTGTTTGTGTTCCATCAAGGTGTTACTGAGATATTGCATCCATGACAATGAGACGGGCGGACGACCTGAAAATAAAATGGCTGCTGCTCTGACTGTCGCCGTGCGGAGGAATAAAAATCATGAGCTGCAGATTCTCACCTGAAACACCTGGACAGATTCACGATGTTTCATCTTTGTCAAGTTTCAGACTGTTATTTAGAAAATGTTGTTGTTTGTTTGTTTATTTAAACATTAAATATTTGTTCAACTTCAGTTTAAAGAAAAACTGGGTCGTGAAGTCAAACCTCTGACGTGGCCTGGAGTCGTGGTTCAGGTTTTCCCAGCTCACAGTTCTGATCCTGTGGAGTCAGACCTGAAGCTGCACTAATATATACATATATAATAACTTTCCCTTCAAAGTAAAACTCTTCACTGTAACACAAAGTCTCTACAGATATTTCTACTGTTGTACTTTTATCACACAATGTTTGTTAGATTTTATAAATATGCAAATATAATGTCTGTTGAGGATGAAATATTTTCTTGAATCCCTAAAAGAACATCTGTGTCTTTTATTTTTTATCTTTGAATAACAAAAAAGAAAATCTACAATTAAACATCAGACTTTCAGTTTGACGTTTACTCAGGAGGAGCAGGTCGTCCATTAACTAGGTCGTCGGTTCAATTCCCGGCTCCTCCAGTCTGCGTGGAAGGGTACCTGATATATCAGGTGTGTGTGTGTGTGTGTGTGTGTGTGTGTATAAGTGCAGTAAATTTAACATTAACTTTTTCTGTTTTTATTTTTTTCATTGTTTTGTTTACGTGTGAAAGTTTTAATTGTACTTTAATATAATAGTTCTGTACATTTAAAAAAACTGTTTTGTTCAATAAAGTTTTTAGAAAACTACCTGTTTCCCGTTCACTTTTCAGTATAAAAGCCTTCACTTTTATTTTGAAGGTGCAGTATCTATCCAGCAGCAGAGGTTGTTGAGGTCTCTTCATATTCACACAAAAACATTGAACACAACTAACACGTCAATGTTAAAACTTCCTGCCAAATTAAACAAAGTATGAAACATTCATGTGCAGGAAGTGTTGTTAGCCAGTAAGCTAACTGAAGCAGCTACATGAAGAAAGTTCAGCTCTGTCAAACTTCTACCAAAACACCTGATACTTTTAAATTCTGGTGTAAAGGTCACAGGTCAGAGACAGAACTATGTGCAGTTTAATACGTCATCACGAGTCCACACCTGGAAGGTGTTCAACAACACCTGGATTTATCCAACACAATTTGAGTCTGAATGAATGTAGGAGAAGAAACGTTTCATCAAACTCTGTTCAACTTCTAAAATAACTTGCTTAGAGTTCACAGGACACAGTGATCAGAACCAGACCGGTCTATTTTATAATCAGGAGGGTTAACTGCCCGGTTCGGGTCATTATTCAGAGTGCTGACGTCATGAAAATAACGACCTTTGACTGAATTTGTTCTGGTTCTGGGTTGGACTCTCTGAATGAGCCCGTCATCATTCAGAGGTTCTTTGAAAAGGGTTCTGTGTGAAAGAGAAGAAGACAAAGCTCAGCAGGAGCGGTTAGATAACGACCCACTCTGCAACCCCCCAAACTCCGTAGGAAAAAACCTCAACTTTCAAACTTTCTTGCTCAAAGGTCGAAAGGCAGAAGAACCAGAACAAAACCGGACTGAGTTTATAAACCACAAGCTTCACTGCTGGATTCGGCTTCAGTGAGGTCCCAAAGTAGAAGTGTTTAATTCAATAAAATCTCAACGTATTGGGAGTTAGTGTTTAACCCGCGCAGTGTTTCCTGGTCTTTTCTAAAGGAGTTCTGTGTGTGGAGAACAAAGATGTGGAGCCGCATGTGTTCACTCACCCCGTGTTCTGCAGCATCGTTGGTCTCAGGTGAAGTTAAACAGGTAAAGGAACAGACAGAGTCAGTGTTAGAAGAATGACAGCCGATCGTCTTCTCCACCTTTCACCCACTTAAAGACCCTCGAGGCAACAGGATGTTACAGATCACTCCCCCACCACTTCCGGTCTGCAGGCAAAGATTCACACGGAGCGAAGAGATGTCAAACTCTGACTGTTTGTTGTGATAAAACTTAATGAACTTTCAAGATCACAGTGATTATTATATTATAATTATTCTTAATTATATTATATTGTAATCATTTAAAATTATTATTACTCGCTTAGATTCCACAGCTGTTTTATTCCATACATTTCTGTCATATATATTTCAGCAGGGTTGTTACTGTTGTGTAATGTGTTTTAATTCAGAGTCCTTAACATTATTGTGTAGTAGATTGTAACGTGATAAAATTGCCATTCTTCCCATCAGTCTGCGCTCAGTAAAACATGATGATAAAGTGAAATCATGTGTGCAATTAAAAAAACCTCATATAACGTAAATTATAAAAATAGTAGCCTATATATACTGTGGTAAATCTAATTTCTTAATTTGATTTATTGACAAGCTGTCTTTAGTTACTGGTTACTTTGTAGATTTTACTCAACATGTGACCAGTTTATGAAACATGATTGTTCCACAACTCAAAACTAAATTAAGTTAAAATGAGCTGAACCAGTTGAGACACTGAAGTGCTGCTCACATATTCAAGCCTCACTAATAACATTAATAATCCAGTATATGTAATAACGTAACAGTGACATGTTCATAAAGCAGACTTTTATTTTTCATACTTGAAGAACATTTTGCAGACACATGTTCTTACTGCAGGAACTTTTCTTGTTAGAGTCTTTCTACTTTTACTGAATTCTTCTGTTAAATTATTGTCTTCAGTTTATTATAAACATGGTCAGTTTCACATTAAACTTTATGATGACGTCACAAACAGCTGTTTTCTGATATTATCTAATAGATAAGAAAAGTTGTTTATTTAGTGTTTGTTTACACTAAATAAACTATATTAATAATGTTCATGTGTTATTATTGCAACCCCCCCCCCCGCCCAACAAAACACTGATGAATGTTTTAGACTTTGATTCATCGATTATTATCGATCGGTCTGATCTGAGGCGTGTCCGCCAGCCGCCATGTTCTCCCATGACGTCATTAAACGGGAAGTGAGCTCGTTGTTCTCCGCTGCCTGACTGCGGAGCGGGAAGCTCGCGGACCAAAACAACTCTTCCTCCTCCTCTTCCTCCTCGCGGACCATGGACGGGTGAGCGCGGGGAAACCTCCCGAACCTTTCCCGCACGTTCCCACCGCTGTTTTCCTACCTTCCTTCCTTCCTTCCTCCCTCGCGTTTCCTTGGTGATTGAACCGCACCTGCGCGAGCCTCTGGCGTCAATCCTCCCGCTCGTTTGTTGTTGTTTACTTGTTTACAGAAACATTTTCCCGCCACAGAACCCCCTCGGCGCCCCGATTTTCCGTTCCTCGCGCGCTGTTTGTCGCTCGTGTTTCGGTTTTTCTGGTTTTGTTTTGGTTGAAAGTGTCGCGAGCAATTGTCTAGCGGCGGGGTTTGATCGGCTGAAATCTCGCGATAACCGTGTTCACGGACACAGCAGAGAGGAAGAACTGTGGCGGATTCTTATCTTTTTCTGTGAATTTGTTCGCGGTTCAATCTGAAACGAGCTGATGTTTCACACGTCGATCCTCTGAACGAGCATCAGCTCGATTAACCGAACGTCTGACCGGACAGCTGTAGTTTAGTCATGTTCATGAGAGAACAAACAAACAAAACACTAAACGGCCATTTTTAGTTTCTAGAGTGACTCAGTTTGTTCAGTTCTGAAAGGATCAATCCAAAGATCATGAATCATTGATCAGTTTGTGTTATATCGGTGAAACTGATCAGCTCCAGTAACAACCGTTTTCATTATCGATTCATTATTTTGTTCATTATTTGTGTGGTGTGGTGACAGAGCTGAAGCTTTATTCTATTTGACCAAAAGCCCCAAAATATTGTTTAAAAATAATTAAGAGAAAAGCCTGTGTGTTTATCATGTCACAATTTGTGCCTGAAAAATGACTGAAGTTATTAATTGTAATCATTTTTAATGAAAATTCTGTTGCTATATTAATTAAGTGACTAATTGTTTGGGTCCAGGGGCCGGTTTGACAGAGTTACTTCAGACTGGTCTGTCTTGGTCTGATTTATTTTAAGACAAACATTAGACACCTTAGCTCCAGACTGACTCAGGTCTAAGACCAGTGTTACTATGGTAACAATCAGTGACACCTGCGCTGACCAGCAGTACTCAACAAGAAACAGGAAAACATGGCTCATAATTAGTGGTTTGCTAATTTTGTTATTGAGAGAGCAAAGGGTTTTTAGAGACCGTGGCCATTTTGTTTTTTTTCTGTTTCACTCTTCTGTAAATGGTCTTGTAACAGGTGAATTCTTCCTAAAGACAAACATGTTCTGAGGTACACAGCTCAGTGGTTGGATGTGGTTCCTCAGTCGGCCATTTGTTTTATATTGGAAAAAAGTCTTGATTTACCCAGAATTCATTGTACCAGCCTGACTTAAGACAGTCAAGAACTGAACTGTGCAGCAGATGAATTCAGACTCAGAATCTGAAGTCTATGGTGGCCCTGAGGGCTCAAGTAACTGCAACTAACAAAACACATTCAAATACACAAAGGCACTGAAAATACACACGATGCTGAACAAGTTCCATCCTGGTTCATCACTTCTTAGTGTCCTATGGAAACACCTGTGTTGTGTTCCAGCTCATGTGTCACACTGATGAAGATGTTCTGAGGCTGCAGGGCACTGAGCTTCAGGGCCACCGTAGGAGTCGGACTGTTTGTTCTCAGTCTCTGTGGAAGCAGCTCCTGGTCGGTTGCTATGACTGAACTCACGTCTGAAGATGTTGCCTTGTGACAGATGTTTTAAAGACCTAACAGCTGATGGACTGTTTGAGGCAGGAAGGTTCAACACCGCAGAGCTTCTTATCTTCTCTTCGTGTGGTTTGTGCTTCAAAATGAACCAAGTCAGAGTAAAGCAGCAGATTCTGTTTGTCATGAAGGTGAATGAAATAATGACAGGACACCATGTGGCTGCGCTCAGAGACAGAACACAGCAGAGAGGAAGTATATATAACCTCTCATCATGGTCAAGTTGTTACACCTGAGTAGGGGGAGGAGTCAGCTGGAGTCAGCTGCCCTGCCTCAGGTGTGATCATGTGACTCCTGACTCGATCACTGAACCAAGATCAGAATTTCCAGAGTAAATCATAATGAAAATATTTAGTTTCCAAAGATATAAAACACAGAAAAGAGTCATCAGCAGCTGTTTGACAATTAATGAAAAATCTTCATTGTGTTTCATGTTATTTTAAATGAAACATCAGCTGCTCTGACAAACAACAGCCACTGAGACTGGATTTATTTCACTATTTATTCAAACACTTAATTATTTAAATATTAATATAATAATTAATATAATATTCTAGATAATGTTTCTATTTTTATTTTATTTCTTATTACATTTTTCCTTGTTGCTGCTGCGTCAATTTGATTTTCCTCTAATTGGATCAATGTATTATATATATTATACATTATTATTAATATATTATGTATTATTATATCATATTTATTCCCTGTGTGTCTGAGCAGGAGTCGGCGTTCACCTCGTCTCTCGGCTGCTCTGCGAACATGAGCACCTCGAACCTGTCCACAGGTGAGACCCCCCCTACCCCCTCCCCCGTCTGTGAACCTCGCTCTACCTGAAGCCCCTCTGACAGTATAACGCTGTGTGTGTGTGTGTGTGTGTGTGTGTGTGTGTGTGTGTGTGTGTGTGTGTGTGTGTGTGTGTGTGTGTGTGTGTTTGCAGTGGATGGCACTGATAGGCTGTGTGTTTCTGAGCGTGCTCAGTGCGTCCCGTCCCGAGTCCTTCACCTGCGCCAGCTTCCCGCCGACGTCTCCGAACAGGAAGTGCTGGCGCTGGCGCTTCCCTTCGGCCGAGTTAGTAAACTGATCACACTGAAGACTAAGAACCAGGTGAGTGATCAGGTGATGATGATGATGATGATGTCATATATTATATATTTTATATATTATTTAAAGCACGTCTCCACTGAAATTCATTCAGGTTGTTCTTTCAGGCGTTTCTAGAGATGGCGTCAGAGGAAGCAGCCGTTACCATGGTGAACTACTACACCTCGGCCACGCCCACCGTCAGGAACCAGCCAATTTTCATTCAGTACTCCACCCACCGCGAGCTCAAGACTGACAATCTGACCAATCAGGTGAGCAGCAGAGGGTCAGGCCACGTCCAATTCAACACATTTATTTATTTACAAACAAATCTGAAAATATTAATAAATATTAATAATGAGTCTAATTTAAACGAGAGGTGACGATCAAAGTGTGATTAAATAATTATATTATATATTATTTTATTATAATAAATACAAAGTGTGAAAAAGTCAACATGTGTTTCTGTTGATTTAAATCGTTTGTTGACAGAGAGCTCAGGTGACGCTTCAGGCCATCAGTGCAGCAGCAGTGCATTCTGGGAGCATGGCGTCAGGAGGGGAGGGGCGGGGCTTAGCTCTGGGTCAGAGTCCCGTGCTGAGGATCATCGTGGAGAATTTATTTTACCCGGTCACACTGGAAGTTCTACAGCAGGTGTGTGTTGTGTGTATTTTATTGTGTGTGTGTGTGTTGATGTGTTGATGTGTGGATGTGTACGGAAGCTGGTTTTATTGATATTGTGTGTGTGTGGTGTGTTGTTTGTGTGTGTTGATATGTGTGTGTGTGTGTTGGAAGGTGTGTGTGTGTGTCGTGTGTAATTTATTGTGTGTGTTGATATGTGTGTATGTGTGTGTGTTTTATTGTATGTGTGTGTGTGTGTGTGTGTTGAAAGGTGTGTATGTGTGTGTGTTTTATTGTGTGTGCGTGAGTGTGTGTGTTGATATGTGTGTATGTGTGTGTGTTTTATTGTATGTGTGTGTGTGTGTGTGTGTTGATATGTGTGTGTGTGTGTGTGTTGGAAGGTGTGTATGTGTGTGTGTGTTGTGTGTAATTTATTGTGTGTGTTGATATGTGTGTATGTGTGTGTGTTTTATTGTGTGTGCGTGAGTGTGTGTGTTGATATGTGTGTATGTGTGTGTGTTTTATTGTGTGTGCGTGTGTTTGTGTGTTGATATGTGTGTAATTTATTGTGTGTGTTGATATGTGTGTATGTGTGTGTGTTTTATTGTGTGTGTGTGTGTGTGTGTGTGTTTTCAGATCTTCAGTAAGTTCGGCTCAGTGTTGAAGATCATCACGTTCACCAGGAACAATCAGTTTCAGGCTCTGCTGCAGTTCAGTGATGCTGTGCACGCTCAGCACGCCAAGGCTGTGAGTCACGTGCACGCTCAGGCACACGCACACACACATATATGAAACATTTGTATAAACTGGTGGAGGACGACAGCAGATCATTTCACCACCAATCAGAGTCAGTGTTTGGAGCTGTGGTCCAATCAGACGGCAGCTGTGTGACTTCCTGTCTTTCAGTCTCTGGACGGTCAGAACATCTACAACGGCTGCTGCACGCTGAGGATCGACTTTTCCAAACTGAGCGCGCTCAACGTCAAATACAACAACGACAAGAGCCGAGACTTCACCAGAGCCGACCTGCCCACCGGAGAGCTGGAGCCCGCCGCCGCCTTCGGTAAGACCGGCTTACAAGGCTAACGCTGATGTTAACGATGATGCTAATGTTCATGCTAATGCTGATGCTAATGCTGATGCTGACACTGATGTTGTCATCGTCACTGATCAGCTGAGTGTGTGTGTGTTATAGGTGTAGCCCTCCCTCCATACGGTGCAGCAGCTTTCCCGCCCACCTTCCACCAACACACAGGTGAGACAGTCGACTGTCGGTTTACGTGACTGTTTTAAATAACGTTTCATTGATCCTCTTGTATTAAATGAACAGTGTTAGTTTTGTGTTGGTTATGTTGTTTTAAATAAAGTTTTCTGGATGTCTTCCTCAGGTCTGTCGATGGCGGCAGTCCCTGGCTCGCTAGTGTCGCCTCCTCGTGTCTCGCTGCAGGTGGCGCCTCCTGCTGTCCACTCAGTGCTGCTGGTGTCCAACCTGAACCCAGAGGTCAGATGTCACACTGTCACACAGCGGGCGACCAATCAGAGCACTGCTCTCTCAGCTAACTTTATTAACACTGTTTGTCTCTGCAGAGCGTCTCGCCTCACTGCCTCTTCATCCTGTTCGGTGAGAAACTCTTTAGATATTTCATTTATTTATTCAGACGCATGTTTCTGTTGGACATTTTTATTTCACTGCTGTTTATTTAACAACAGAATAAATAAATAAATAAATCAGAGCTTCATTCTGTCTCTTTTAGAGAAAGATTCAAAACTCAGAACACAACAAATAAAACTGTCAACAGATCAATAAAGTTAAGATCATTTATTGTTTAAGGTGTTTATTGTTGATTGTTTTCAGGTGTTTGTTGATTGTTTTCAGGTGTTTATTGTTGATTGTTTGCAGGTGTCTATGGAGACGTTCAGAGAGTGAAAATCCTCTTCAATAAGAAGGAGAACGCTCTTGTTCAGATGAGCGACGCCACACAGGCTCAACTGGGTCTGAAGCATTTTATATTTTTACATTTTTATATTTTAAAATTTTTATACTTTTATATTTATATATTTCTATCTTTATATGTATAATATTTCATTGTCTCTGATGTCAGTTAACAGTTAGTACATGCTAGCTAACGCTAACAACCTCATTAACATCTGTAACTCACCAGCTGTTACAGGAAAGTTGCTTGTGACAATGTAGCAAACTAATGTCACAATTATTTACATCAAGCTAATCAATAAATTCTAACGATTGGAAGAAATTACCCTAATGACAGTAAATCAATCAGTGTTCATAACGTTACTTTAATAACAACCATTTTCCTTCAGTAAATATAAATAAACGACGTTAAGTCTCTTGTGAGGTCATTGTTATGGAGGCGTGGCCGGTGGTGTCACCTGACAGCTGACTGATGACATCACACAGGTGACACTGTGGTTGAGAAACAGACCTGTTATTACAGCGCGTGACCACCGGTGTCACCAGAGACAAACCTTAAACCTTTGTTTCATTTGAATTTCATTTTTAATTGAATCACATTATCTTTAATATTTTTTTCCCCTGACAGCAATGAGTCACCTGAACGGCCAGCGTCTCCATGGTAACGTGATTCGGGTGACGTTGTCCAAACACCCGGTGGTGCAGCTGCCTCGTGGGGGGGCTGGGCAAGAAGAGCAGGCACTGACTCGGGACTTTTCAGGCTCCGCCCTCCACCGCTTCAAAAAACCCGGATCCAAAAATTTTAACAACATTTTCCCTCCATCAGCAACGCTGCACCTGTCCAACATCCCGTAGGTTTATTTATGTAACATTGTTTATTTATTCTGTATCATTTATTTGTTTTATTTGATATTGTTTATTTTATTTAATAATGTTATTTATTTAGTATTTTTTATTTATTTTATTTAATATTGTTTATTATTTATCTTTAGTTTAAATTTCTCAGTGATCAGTCAGATATTAGTATTTATTCCTTCCTTGTCTCCTTGTCTCCTTGTCTCCTTGTCTCCTTCTCTCCTTGTCTCTTTGACTCCTAGCTCCTCGGTCAGTGAGGAGGTGTTGAAGGATTTATTTTCCTCCAGCGGATTCACAGTCAAAGCCTTTAAGTTTTTCCAGTGAGTAACAGAAAAAAACAGAGTGAAAGATCTGAGTCACAGTCAATCAATCAATCAATCAATCAATAATCAAACCTGTTTAAGAATTGATTTGATCTTTAAAGTCAAGTAAAATCTGAATATTAAAGTTAACAGTAAAATAAATTCTGGTTTGTGGGTGGAAACATCAGATGTCTGATGATGTCACTTCCTCTGATGTCACAGGAAGGACAGGAAGATGGCTCTGATGCAGCTGGCGTCGGTGGAGGAGGCCATCGAGGCGCTGATCCACCTGCATGACCACCAGCTGGACCACAACCAGCACCTCCGGGTCTCCTTCTCCAAGTCCACCATCTGACCTTTGACCCCAAGACGCCCCCCACACATAAATATACAGCAAGTCAGCTGATGTCAGCAGGCAGCCCTGGGCTGTCAGCATAGTTACTGTTGCGATTAGCCTGTTAGCTTTAATTTAGTCAGCTATTAGCCTGTTAGCCACCCATTTAACTACAACACCTTTTAGCTCGTTAGCTTGAATTTAGCTGCAGCAGCTCGTAGCTCGTTAGCTGCAGTAGCTCGTAGCTTGTTAGCTTTGAGTTTAGCTGAAGCAGCTAATAGCTTGTTAGCTTCATTTGTTCACAACAATTAAATTGTATAACATCAGAGATTCATGTTGATGTTTCATCTTAACGAGAGAAACTCAAACGTTAGCGAGTGTTATTGATGTTAAAGTTTGTTGATGACGAATGTGACGAAGCTCCAGTACATAAATAGATAATATAATGTCAAGGCTGACATGCTAGTAGCTAACTAACATCAAAGCTAACGGTCTGATAGCTCATTAGCATGACACCTCTAACCCTCTGATGTCACTTGCTCTCTGGACGTTTCAACCATTTTCCTTCCAACCCGTCACCTGACCTTTGACCTTTGGAGCTGACTAACCAATCAGACTGCAGGGATTCTGATTGGTCCGCGGTGAGAGCAACGGACCAGTGGGAGAGACCTGACACACCAACGAGCTGTGCCTACAAACACTCTGACATCACGATGAAGGATGATGTCACAACAAGGGGTCGTCGCCATGGTTACAGAGCACATTCCTGAGTAGACTGAGAACTGAGTAGCAATGCATTGTGGGTAGTGTGGTCCAACAAGGAGCTAATGTGAGTGAATTGTTCTGTCTAAATGTTAAATTAATGTGATGCAGAAAAAAAAAAATCAGGAAAAATTTTCTTTTTAAAGTTAAAAAGAGAATTTTCAAAATAAAACCTGCCTTTTCTTAAAATTCCAAAAGAAATACTTTAATTTTGAATTCTTTTTGTTTTATCTTTAGCATGATTCGAAATCTGGTCTCGAAGCTGTAAATTATTTATTTAGTTTTCACTGTAACTTTGAGCTAAAAGCAAAAAGACATAATTTATCTTTTTATTTCATTTTTTTAATAATCACAGTTTCACTTTCATTTTATTGTTAAAATTTATTTTGACGACTTTCACAAACTTCCACCTTTTTTTATTTTATTTTCAGTGACGTGCCTTTCCATTGGCACTTCACTGCCATCTGATTGGTTAAATGATTACTATCATTTATTATTATTATTATAATCATTATTATTATTGTTATTGTTGTTATGATGTTAGCATTTAGCTGCAATCTCAACAAACCTTCTTCGTGCCTTATTTTTCTGATTGTTCTGCTGGTTTTTGGTTTTTCGTCGTGGTGTTTGGGGTCGTGCGTCGTTTTGATCTGACTTTGATTTTTTTTTTTTTTAGGATTTTTTAGGTGAAATCTTTTTTGTTGTTTTATTGTTGTTTATATTTTGGGAGGGTTTTTTAATCATGAATGTATTTATACTGTAAGACATGAACTAGGTAATGCTTCAATGTCCCACCCACCTGTCCTACCTGCGTTTGTATTTATATATGTGTGTGTGTGTGTGTGTGTGTGTGTGTGTGTGTGTGTGTGTGTGTGTCATACTGAGCTGTGATTGGTTGATCCTCAAATGTCCCACCTTTTTTTCCTATTAAAAATATATTTAATTCTAATTCAGCTTGTTTTTTTTTTTTACATCTTGTTTGGATTCATTTGTTGTTGATTTTCTTTTCAGGAAACAAGCCAGAAAAAAACAGGAAGTTTCAGATTCCCAGTTTGCCTTCTGACCTCTGACCTCTCTGCTGATTATGTTAAAAGTAAAAATGAGGTGGCGGCGACGACAAAGTCTTTGTTGTTTTTGCTTTAAAGTTTTTGGTTTACAGTTTTTTTATTTGTTGTTTTTTTATTTTTGTTAACTAATTGATAGATTATTTTTTCTTGTCCTTGTTTCTTCGTTAGGTTTTTAAAAAATCTGTATTTATATAGTTTAAAAAATAATATTCTTTTTGCAAACTTCTAAAAACATTTTAAAATTCAATTCTAAGATTATTATGTTTAGATAAAGTGGGGGGCGGGGTCAAACCAAGCTAAAACTAAAGTGTGCCTTTCAATTGGACCAACTCATTATCATGACATCACTTCCTGTTTAAATGGCTTTCCAGTATCTTTAAGTTAATACTCATAACATGTTCCACAAGATTTTTATTTGCATGATTTAAATTGTTTTTACATTTTCATGTTTCGATTCTTATTTCATTTCAAGTCAAAGTTTTTTTTGAATTGGGAGATTTAAACGTTGATGTAATCGAACCTTTGTGACTTCTCATGTAGCCCTGCCCATATACAGCCCCACCCAACCCCATTAAATCATAGCCCTTTTTTTTTTTTTTTAAATTCAACGATGCTCCTTGTTACATGTCAGCAATCAATCAACCAATCCATCAATCAATCAGTTGATCAATGAATTAATCTTTAAAGGAGAGCTCTGTCAAACACACACCTGACCTCATTCACAGTAAATGATCTGACAAACAAACCATCAAACACATAAACGCTTTGACTTACTGCTGTTTACATCATACATGTAACGTGTGATCATATGTACTTAACATGTTACATACTATTATCATGTGTGAAACATGTTTCAGTTGTTGACGGAACCAGTGGAACAGCTGTTGTATGTTATGTGTTGGAGTCAGCTGTAACATGAAAAGTGTTTCTTTATGAAAACAGATTTTCTACAGACAGTTTGTGGAACTGAAATTCTTGTTTTAGTTTTTAAAACTGAGAAACTGTTGAGCTGCTTCCTCCACGTTTTTATACCTGAATGCTTACGAATGTAACGTACTTGTGGTGCATTGTGGGAGCAGGTGGGACTATTATTATATGAATTTTTTTTAATATTGAACCAGTGCATGATGTTGGGGGGGGGGGGGGGGGGGGGGGGGGGGGGGTCGTAGCATGAATCACTGAATAAATAAATAATCCAACAACCAGTCGACTGTCTGTCCTCAGCCAATCACAGAGCAGCACACAAGCAATCCTACAAATTAAAGTTCATGTTTGAAAGGATAAAACTTTATTGTTCCTGTGTTGTTGACACAATCCTCATTAAAAAAAAACAGCAACTATAAACAGAAGAATCCTACTGATCCGATTGGACGATGCGGTCAGGGGCTCGTCCGACTCAAAGCTGAGGTCATCAACCAAACCGCCTGTGGCCACACTAACAGTTAACAGTGAAGTAATGCGGCTTTAAAAAAAACACCTGTGGTCGTGCGTACGCACGCACGCACGCGCGCGCGCGCACACACACACACACACACACACACACACAGTTCAACTGCGGAACAAACACAAAGTTCAGAAATGTGAATTTTTTTTGTCTTTTTCTTAAACAAACGTGTTTTTTTCTTTTGGTCCGATGTTTTTCACGTGAAATGTCGCGACCATGAAACGTCACAGAATACTGGAATTCATTCAGTGCTGCATCGTGGTTAACTTTTTCTTTTTTTTTTCCTTTAACCCCCCCCAACACACACACACACACACACACACACACACACAAACACACACCTCCCCCCAAAGAAAGCAAAAGAAGAAAAATAAATTCAAAAGAATACAACAAAATAGAAAATGAATTTGATTCACGTGTCAAAGATTCTGTGATCTCATTGGCCATTTTTTTTGTTTTCACATTGACACAAACGTTCATTCACTGAAGAAACAAACAAGTCATTCATTAGAATTACTGGTTTCCATTTCATCAGGATTAAATAAAGATCTTTGATCATCACAGTAAAAACTTTATGACTGAATAAAGTTTTTTAATAACGCCATACAAATTTCATAAAAACCAAATAAAGAACTTTTTTTTTTGTTCAAGATGTTAAACAGAAAAACTGATCCTGCAGTTACGAGGTCAAACTACGTTACCACATGTTTATATTTGTATTTGTTTGTGTTCAATGAATATAGTCTCGTTTAAATCTTGAGTGAACGTTGTTTTCTTCTTCTGTTGTTTTTTATCAGATAACCCCCCCCCACTCTAACAGCTGTGATGTTCAGATCCTTGTTCTGAGCTTGATCCTAAATTTATTTTATTTTTCTAGATTAATTAGAAAACTGAACAGAGTTTAATTTGATCATGTCTGAGATCAACTCAAGTTATTTCAAGTTTAAAACACTGATAGTTTGTTGTCATGCCAACAGATAAGGTGTTCTGCTGACAGTAACAGGTGTCGTCTGTTTTTTTTATTGATTCTAAATAATCCTCAAAATCAATATGTCAATCTGAGGGTGACATCACTTCCTGATTTCACCAGGTAAAAACTCAGGCAGATGAATTTCAAAATAAAACACTTCAGGTCACATGTTTTATCAAAAAAAAAAAAAAAAACTTCAAAACACAAAGAAAAATAGAATCAGCCAATGAGGAGAGAGCATTACCTCTGCTCCTTCCTCATTGGCTAATTTTCTCTCTCATTTTCTGCTCTTCTGGTCCTATCAAAGATCAAAGATCAGCTGACTCAAGGCGACGCATCACTCCCTCCCATTTTTTCATTTTCATTTTTTTTAGTTTCTTCTTGCTGCGCTCTCATTGGCTTGTTCTGGCATCGTTAAGTTTTAGCACCAAAGGAACATAAATAGTTAAAAACACACACACACACACACACACACACACACACACACACACACACACACACACACACACAAACTTCAGTTTTTTTTCTCATAAAAAAACAAAAACAAATAAACATCAGTCTCTTTTTCTCAACCCCCCCTCCCCCATCCTCCTATGATGGAGGAGGAGAGGAGGAGGAGGATGAAGGTGCAACCAGTTGCTGTGGTAACTAGACGTCGAGGATCTCCTCTGCGGTGCCGCCGCAGCGCAGCCTGTAGCGACCGGTTCTCCAGCTGATGGTCGGGTCCCAGAGAGCTGACAGGAAGATCTGAACCGCCATCGACTCCCTGATGAACCATGCCACGGCGAAGTCCAGCTTTGAGAAGCACAGAGGGCCGCCCTGCAGGATGATGATGACCGATCAATAACCAATCACCAACACTTTTATTCAACCTCGTTATTTCTTCTTCACTTTCATTTTTTACGTCATTTTGAACATTAATTAAAGATCCAGGTTCATTTTTCTTCTTCAGTCCAAGTGTGTGTGTGTGTGTGTTCATATGATATGATTCATGATTTTAAGAATTTTTTTAGTTTTATTTTTTAATTTCATGGTTTTTGCTTTTAAGTTTTTATTTATAAAAATTGATTTTGTGTTTAAAATTTCGTTCAATTCATTTTATAGTTTTGTTTTTAATTGAATTTCATAAATGTTTTGTTTAGATTTATATACATTTACATCAAAGAAAAAAGAGGACGAAAACACAAATATAAAATATGTTTATAAAATAAAATATTCAGATTAATTTTCTCATTTTAATTGAAACATCAAAGTGTAAAATGAAAACATGTTTACCTGAACTCCAGTCAGCTGGATGTAGTCAGATATGAACCAGGCCAGACAGTGACACATGAAGAAGACCATCATGTCCCACCTACACACACACACACACACACACACACACACACACACACACAATATATATATATACATTTTATATGGAGTTTATGATAAATAAATAAAATACTTGAATGTCTGCCCAGCAACAGTGTCATCCCACCCTGCTCCTCTGATTGGCTGTGTACCTGAACACATGATGAGCAGCCCAGCCAATGATGAGGCTGGCCAGGAAGCACTCAGACACGGGCTCCAACACGGTGGCCGGAAGCATGTTGATCCTCAGCTTTGTCCACCTGTATCAATCAATATCAATATCAATCTAATTATCGATTAGACAAGATCATTCATCAGCAGTTGTTACAGACACTTCCTGTTCCAGCTCCACTCTGTCTGAATCATGTTTGATAGTAAATGAAATTTAACATTAATGACTGAGGCAGAACATAAACAGCCAACTAGACGAAGGGTTCTGACGTCACCTGATCATGCGGGACTGAAACTGGCCAATGGAATACGACCCTGAGTTCTGCAGTGCCACCTGTGTTGCCATGGAGAACTTCCAGCCTCTGAGGAGAGAGACAATGAACAGACAATGAATAAATCAGCTGACCGCGGAGACATCCGCCAGGTGCTAATGCTAACATGCTAACCTGTCTGCGATAGCTTTAGCCATGAAATAATCTTCAGCAATGTACTGAGCGAAGGCGACCAATCCGCCGGCCTGATCCAGCACGTCCTTCCTCATTAGACATGACATCCCCGTCACACACTTTATCCCCGTCACGTTGGCCGAGATGTAGGAGCGTGGGTGGGACGTCCCGAAATACACCTGGACACAGGTTAGCATCTATTAGCATCCAGAAAGCCACAGAAACCATCTACTGCCATCATGTTAGCTGAGGCGGAGAAGCTAGCAATACATTTAGCATATTAGCATATCATGATCACAAGTTAGCTAGTTAGTTAAAAATAAAAAAATAGAATCATCGATAGCAGCGTTAGCATGAACAGCTATAAAAGCTCCTAAAAAACACGGGACAGCTAGAAAATATTTGTGTTATTTTAGCTTCACAAGCTAATGCTAAATAGCATTCATAAACACAATTAACCACGACACAAGCATTAGCATTTGGTTGCTAAAAGTTTTCATCTTGTTAGCCTTACTTGCTCCAGTGTGGCAGCAAAGCCTTGGCGGTCGGCAACATACGGCAACCCGTGGACCAATCCCACCTTCTCTGTCATCTGATTGGTCAAATCTGTCAGGGTGTCGGGTTTCACTGCCACACACACACACACACACACACACACACACACACACACACACACACACACACACACACACACACACACTTAGCATTAGCACTGATCACCAACAGTCAACTGTCACTAAATAAATTAGCGGCAGCGCTAACCTCTGATGCCGCTATCACAGATCCACACCAGGCCGTACTTGGCTCCTTCGTAGCCCGGCATCAGGTTGTTGATCTTGGGGTTGATTCCGACTTTCTTCCCCCCTGAGAACCAGAGAACACATGCTAACATTAGCTGCTAACGAAAGACTGGAGCAGGTAAATGGAATAACACAGAAAAGACTGTATGAACTTCTCACCGATGAACAATCGAGCGTCGACGTTCGGATATTTGCCCAACAGCTTTTTACAGACGTCAACAGCTGGATCATCCTGATCCTGAACACACAGCAGGATCTCATACTGCAACACAAACGCTTCAGTTACTCAAAAACCCTCAGCACGCTTACTGATGGATCTGAGGTCACCTGCGCCATTAGAGAGGAGCACAGGTGGATTCTGGGTCAAGTGAGAGGAAGCTGGGTGGTGGTCAGGGGCAGGAAACAGGGGTCAGGGGGTGTAAGGTGGGCAGTTCAACAGATAGGCAGATGGTCAAGGGCAGTCAGGTGGTCTTTGGGGCAGTAGCTGGGGGAGTTAAAATGGCAGCAGTAAGAAACTAAGTGATGTGATTATTGGGGGGGGGGGGGGGTCACCTTGGGGTAATCCAGTGTGAAGAAGGTCTCCAGGTTGGAGATCAGGTTCGGGTCAACACCCTTCAGCGGCTTCAGCAAAGAAACTCCTGCCAGCTGCACAAAGGACTGTTTGACCTCTGACCTTTTCTTGTGGAGATGGAGACGCCTGAAAGGCAGAGAGACAGATGTCAAAGGTCAAAGGTCAGAGCCATCACATCATCAGGAACACATGAAACTATCCTCCAACATTTGAAGGTTGTCATCAACACTGACACCAGTGTCTTCTTCTGTGGTTCTTCAGACAGTTCGTCCTCCTCAGTCATTTTCCGCACGACACACTTTGACTCCAAGTCACACTCCAACAGACGGACAACAGACAGACAACAGACAGACAACAGACAGACAACAGACAGACGGACAACAGACGGACAACAGACAGACAGACAACAGACAAACAGACAGACAGACAACAGACGGACAACAGATGGACAACAGACAGACAGCCAACAGACGGACAACAGACGGACAGACAGACAGACAGACAGCGGACGGACAACAGACGGACAACAGACAGACAACAGACAGACAGACAACGGACGGACAACAGACGGACAACAGACAGACAACAGACAGACAGACAACGTACGGACAACAGACAGACAACAGACAGACAGACGGACAACAGATGGACAACAGACAACAGACAGACAACCGACAGACAGACAACAGACGGACAACCGACGGACAACCGACGGACAACAGACGGACAACCGACAGACAACAGACAGACAGACAACAGACAACAGACGGACAACCGACAGACAGACAGACAACAGACGGACAACAGACGGACAACAGACGGACAACAGACGGACAACCGACAGACAACAGACGGACAACCGACGGAAAACAGACGGCCAACAGACAGCAGACGGACAACAGACAGACAACAGACAGGCAGACAACAGACAGACGGACAACAGACGGACAACAGACGGACAACCGACAGACAACCGACAGACAACAGACAACAGACGGACAACCGACAGACAACAGACGGACAACCGACGGACAATTGACGGACGACGGACAATTGACGGACAACAGACAGACAGACAACAGACGGACCACGGACCTGCTCTTCGCTGTTTGTCTTTCACACTAATTGAAGTCCAACATAAGAATCAAAGATCACTGATGCATTATGGGGGATGAGGTTTACCAAACAAGCAGCAGACAGAGGAACAAAGGATCATGTTTCCTGCTCTGGTAAAAACCACAGACCCGCCCAGGTGCATGCTGGTCGGAAACCAGTCCACCTACCTGAATGAACTCCCATGGTGCATCAGTGGCCTTTTGGTTTTTATGTTGGACAGACAACACTATAGCCACAACATGATCCACTGTGAGTCTGATGATGATCTTACAGAGAGTCTGCGGTCACTGGAGTTCGTCCTGTTGGTTTGGTTTTTCAGAATAAAGGTGATTTAGAAATCATTTGTTAGAGGGTTGCGTCTGAGGGAGGACTGATGACTGACAACACAACTGACTGTCTCTTCTTCACCTGATGACCTTACACTTCACCTTACTGAACAGATGTCAGTCCTGACCTGACACTGCAGTGATGAACCTCACCATCGGTCTGTGGAGAAGAGTCTGACACATCCATGAGTGTGATGTCATGTAAATATGATGTCAGATAATGTAATGTAATATAATATATATATAATATAATGTGATGTAATATATAATATACTATAGTATAATGAGCTGTGAGCTGGTCTCAGACTGTACAGTGTGGTGATATCTGCTGAATCCTAACACTATTATTCAAACAGATACACGCAGAGACATGTCATCAGCTCCCATCATGCACTGCACCGGTCTCATGTCAGAGGATGTGTGACTGTTTGTGGCTGTTCATCAGAATAAAGGACAGATGGGATGAAGTCAGTGGATCTCTAACAGACAGCAGAGACAGCTCCTCACTGGTGATTCAGTTCAGTCCCAGTTCATCTATAGTGAGTCAGCGTGGACCCTGAACACACCACACACTCCCTAATGTCTTCTTCTGTTTCTGTATCTATAGGAGAAAGTGTTTGAATACTTTCTCCTAAGACCTGGAAATAAAACGGCCTCAGAGGAATTATATGGAGTGTGTAACCCTGGAAAGATCTGAAAGGTCTTTAAAAGTCCTGGATACTTCTGACATAAGCTTTTACATAAACAGAGAATTACATAATCAGCGACTAACAGTCTGGATATTTAGTGTGTTTATGTAAATGAATAAAGATGCGGATAAACAGACCGACTACTAACAGCTGGATTCACAAATTGAATGACATTTCAGCAACTTTCAATGAATTTCCAGGTCGTATTTATTGCTATTATAAACATGTGGCATTCAGAGGTTCAGTGTGGTGTCATTAAACACAACAAAACCTCATGTGTCAAAATCTGGTTTTACAATTATTTCCAAATCCCTTTAACGGATTTTCAGAATCACACCTACGGAACTAACTGAGTAGGAGCAACTGGAAAAACCCGTGTTGCCCAATCAGCTTTAGCTTTACACAACTCCACTGAACCAAACGCCGTTACAGCACCTGCCGGTTTCAAACTGTCACAAATAAAGCGAATCAGTGCAGGAAAAACAACTGCATCGACCTCACTGTCCCTAAAACTATCCACTTTAATTATCATCTCTTCACGTCAGATTCAACTCAAAACCTTTGACTTTAATCTGTACCGAAAGAAACAGCCCTGAGCTTCATCAAAACCTTTAAATATGGTGGATTCATTCGTTTTACGTGAGTGAGATTAATGCCGAATTTAAAAGCGACTCATGACACTTCAACAAAACGTTTCCTAACATCCACCATGAGAGATTAACGGCCGCTGGCCACAACATCGTTAAATAATCAGGTTTTAAAAAAGTAATTCGACGTCAGAGGAAACAGGAAATTTACAGGCTAACTAGCGAACTGTGACGGAACCGAGTAAACCAGCAAAATAATGTAAATACTGTAAATAAACTTCACTTCAGTTTCTTTATAATCTGAGCCGCGGGAAACGTTTACATCAATTATAGGATGATTACTTTAGTTCCCGCAAACTACACAGACCCGAGTGAACGGAATTAACTGGCAGAGCTAACAAGCTAGCGGTTAACCAGGAAAACGCCCAACAGCTAACCGGTTAGACACGGAGGTTTACCGGCTGTCACACATCCAGAAACCCGCAGAGCAGCTCCACCACGATGGCTTTAATGTTTCAACTCTAAAGTGACAAACGCGTTAATAAAAACCAGAGATAAACGCAGGAAACAGGGGCGTCACTCCGCTAGCCGTTAGCCTAGCCGTTAGCCTCATGGAGCCGTTCACTTACACATAGATGATGGACATGCAGTGCATGAGCCACAGCACGAAGAACAGGATGAAGCCGAACACGGCGAGTCCCTGCATGGCGAGGTCCAGCAGGGCCATGGCGGTCAGCGGGGGCCGCCGGGGCTGAGGGCCGGCTGGGGGTCACGGAGGATCGTGATAGAGTCGACCAGCTGACCGGCCTCGGAGCGGGATCAGTCGGAGCAGCGCAATGAGAGTCTGACTCTGTGTGCGCCGAGCTCGGCTTGATTTAGGCCAACGATCCGGTCTCCCGCTGACAGCGGGGCACGTCAGGAAACCAATCCCGGTCAGGGGCTCCGGTACTGGGGACACAAAGACCGGGCTCGGCCTGGCGATGCTGACGTCCGGGTCAAGGTGCGAGCTTCAGCGGTTTGACTGTCAGCAGACCGGCCGACGGTCAGCTGACCAACAGGGGGAGCGGCGGCAAGCACGAGACTGTTGCAACGGAGAGAGGACCACTTCCTGTCAACTTCAAAATAAGAGCTTTTATTTGCGTTTGAACGGTTCGTTTCCGGTAAAGTTTATTCACAAAGATCACGTGCAGATCAAACAGAGGAATAAAACTATGACATAATAAACATAATACGGATGGAGAGTCAAAGAATAAATTAATTTATCTTCTATAAATATCAGCTGTTTTATTGTTTTCAGTCACAGTATGTTTGTTTATTTTCCTGTTTATTATTTTCCTGGATATTTTTACTTTGCTTTTATTTAATTTATGATAAATGATTTTAACTGTGCCGAACAATAAAAAATAACAACAATAATAAAAGATTATTATTGCTATCAATGTAAATAAAGATTAGGACTAAGATAAAAGTTCAGGCTTCACAAAGACAGGAAACAGCAGCAGTTGATCAGTCTGTGGTTTATTTAAGACTTTAAATATAATTTTAAGTCTTCCCACACACACAAATTATATATGTATATATGTAATAATATATATATATATATATTATATTCTTATATCATATAAGATATAAGATTTAAGATTTAACCATTAATATTATTAAATTATTAAATCTAGCTGCAGCTTCATGTTTTACTGATTCATCTATAACAGGATCATATCCTTCAGGATATGAATATTCTATCTAAACACACAGGTTACCTGGTTACCTGCCCACACAGGTGAGTTACTGGTCTCAGTTTCCTCATAGAAAGGTTGATGAAGGGAACAGCTGCTGAGGAAAATCAGGTTTCTGATCAGACAGTGACATGATGAAACTGATCCAGGTCTCTGAAGACACAACGGACACCAGAGACAGTCTCATCTTCACCAGGAAACCAGACCACATAGACCACTGGAGACCGGGTCCAGGGACCCCATGGGTCAGGACTAGAGGCCAGGATCAAGGACCAAGACCAGGTACCCTGTTTGAAGTCTTTCTGGTTTCTGGACAGGTCGAAGGTCCACTGTCTCATAATCTGTCCATGAAGACAAGGATGACATCATGATAACATCATAATGTCATGAATGAACTGACCCAGTCTCTTCACAGTGATTGGTCTGTTGTCAGTAGTAGTAGACACACCTGTACAGTAGAAGCTTCCTGAGGGCGCATCCCAGCATGTTCAGCTGGTGTTCCTAATAAACTGGACACACCGAGTACCTGTGGTCACAGCTCCACCTGCAGGTTGACGATGACTAATCAGATCGTCCTCCACTGATGATGTCATCACTTCTCAGCACCAGGTTTACGTGTTCATGTGTTTATTGATGGAGTTACGAGCTGCTCTGAACACAACACAACCAATCAAAGATCAATGACTTTTATTAATGTTTATTGATAAACTCTCTGTCTCCAGCAGCTGTGCTGGGAGCGGACCAGGGACACTCGGAGTTCTCCTTCCAGCTCGACTCCTGTGTGTCGTACACTTCCTGTTGATGAGAGTCACATGATCAATAATCAAACACCTCAACTCTTCAATAATGAGGACGACCTCGCTCTCTCTGCGTCTACCTTCTTCCAGATGGGGACGTTGGCCTTCAGCCGCTCGATGCAGTGCTGGATCGCCTGCTGACCGTCGTGACGATGAGGAGATGAGATCGCCATGGCAACACTGGCCTCTCCGACCTTCACCCACCTGAGGGACGGCATTAACAGGTCACACACACACCCTCCGGTAGCAGGAAGCAGTTAGCTTTAGCATTAGCAGTTAGTAGTTACAAGATAGCAGCTAGCAGTGAATGATAGCATTAGTAGAAAGTAGGTAGAAGCTAGCAGTTAGTGTTAAAATTACTGTTAGCATTAGAAGTTAGCATTAGTGCCTCACCCCAGCCTGTGGTGGACACAGATGTGCGTCACAGTCGGCCAGCGCTCTCTGATGTCAGAGCACAGTTTGGCAAACTCTGATTGGGCCATGAGCTCATACGCCTCGTACTCCAGACCAATCACCTTCCTGCCGTCCACCTCATCCTCACGGGTTGTACCTGTGACACACACACACACACACACACACACACACACACACACACACACACACACACACACACACACACACACACACACACACACTGTGGTAAATGTAAACGTCTGAATCCTGTGAATAAACTCAAATCTTATTTCGAACCTATAAAAACTGAAATGGCTCCACAGGAAGTGCTGCTGACGGCGTCCACCACTTCCTGTACAGACAGCCAATCATGGCTCAGTTTGAACACGTCTCTCCACTCCTCCGACATTTCTGAAGAAAAAGAAAAAAAACACACCTGTCTCAGACAATCAGCTTTTCGTCATGTGGGACAGTTCATGCAGTGAAAGCCTCTCAGGTCATGAAGAAGACGACGGCTCGATGTGTGAGGATGTGAATGGAGAATCAAATAAACAAGACCACGGTGGTTTTTAACACGTATTAGAAAGACATGAATAACCTGCAGGCTTGCTATAATTTATTATTCATAATCAACTATTATTATTATTATTACTAACATAAATTTCCCCTCGGTGATAAATAAAGTATCTATTTATCTGACACAGCTAAAAATTCATGAAACTTCTGGGAATTGAAAAGTTAAAATGTGAAAGTATTGTTTTTTATTTTGTTTTTTTTTGTTTTTTTTTTTAATTTTCATTAAGTGTTTTCTATTTCATGATGAATTTTCTATGAATAAAATAACATAAACAACATATAGAATATGTGGATGTGTGTTTTTTATCCCTGACTTTAAAAAGACAAAGAGTTCTCATCCAGTCTCTTCCTCTCAGACCAGTTCAGGTCACTTCCTGTTTATCCACAGTCACAGAAAATATCAAATATTTGTGTGAAGTTTTGTCGTAATTGCTGTGAAGTCTCGAGTAATGGCTACAATGTGTTTTGTGAGGTCACACTGACCTTTAACCTTTAGCCACCAAAACCTAATCAGTTCGTCCTTGAGTCCAGGTGAACATCAGGGAGATTTTAGAACTGTCCCACCTGTTGCCTGTTGCCATGACGACTCTCGTTCTCTCAGCTTCCAGTTCTTCCAGTGATTTTAAAAGTGATCAATTTAAGTAACTATTGATGAAGCTTTGATCTGATTGGTTGTTGCACCTGTGGCTCAGGTGTGTGTGATGACACATGTATTGATCTTCGATTGAAACTCGATCACTCACCGTCTGTCCTATATTCTATCCTCCGCTGAGCGGCGGCACCACGGCCACCTCGTCCCTGTCTCCCAGGGTTACCACCTGGTCACCGATGGCAACGTAATGCTGACGCACCGCCAACACCACCTGATCCTGAAGGACCGACAGTCTGAACACACACACACACACACACACACGTTGATGACATGAGATGTAATTACAGTCTACAGACACTGTTGCATTGTGGGTATTTTGTGGGGATCACAGTCAGAGGAAAAAGCTCTGAACAGGTGCTGATGTTTCCTGGATCAAGGCCCCGTCCCTGCTGTTATCTGATTGGCTAATCAGGAGTAAACAGCCAGTCATCGTGTGTGTGTGTGTGTGTGTGTGTGTGTGTGTGTGTGTGTGTGTGTGTGTGTGTGTGTGTGTGTGTGTGTGTGTGTGTTTGTTACCTCGGGTGTCGCTGTAGCAACAGACTCCAGAGGTCTCGGCTGCTGATTGGTGTCGGCACGGCAACAATGTCCTCCTGCTTCACTCCGGTCAGCTCCACGCTCTTAGCGAAGTACAACACACACACCTGAAGAAAGCACACACACACACACACACACACACACACACACACACACACACACACACACACACACACACACACACACCTGTAATTTTATCGCATTAACAGATGAAAACCTGTTAAACTTTTATTTTGAAACGTGATTTGAACTTAGATTTTCCACAAGTTTCCACAATAACAGTCAAACAGAATCAGTGATGATCAATCAACCTGATCAGAAGTGATCAGACCTCTGACAAATCAGGTCGCATCCTCATGACTGGTGATAATCTGTCAACATGTACAAACAACAACAACAACAACAACAACAACAACAACAACAACAACAACAACCTGACCCGGTCTGAGTCTCGGGTCAGGACTGGGTGTCAGTCAGAGCAGGATCTCCCTCCGCGTGCTTGTCACGAGGAGTTCATGTGTTGTGCCTCGGGCAGCCATGACAGACAGATATCAGGTCATACAGATCAACATCTGGATACTTCTCAGCTACACGACATGTCTGTCTCTCAGCTGGATGAAAGATGATGTCATCTATTGAGACGAGGTGACGCTTTGATTTGGCGCTGACGTCACTCGTCATTAAAGTTCATTGTAACCGTCGGACGCGGTGTCCGGTTCTTCTGATCGGTGTTTAATTGAGACAAATATCAACGGAGTCTGGCGCGTGCACGCTCACATCATGAGAACAACGGAAGAGACACGCGGACACTCGGTTGTAAAAACACTGAAACTCACCTGAGCAGTCATGAATGAGCCTGGTGCTTCCGGACAGGTGACTGTGAACTGGCTCCACCGCTGAGCGTCACCTTCTTCTTCTCTGGCTTTTAATGGCGGCGGACAAACCGGCTCACGGGGCGTTCCCGCCACCTGCTGGACAGAGTGTGGAGCAGCAGATTCTTCCTGTTCCTCTGACGTGATGAATAAATCAATCAATAAATAATATCTGTCAGCTCTCTGGATATTTTCTGTACAATAAACCTTCACGTGTCATCACAAGATCAAGACTCTTACATGTCTCTTAAGGAGGATCTGTAAATTTAAGGTGGCACTGGAACACATCATCTTCATTTTATATTTATTTATTGTCACAGCATCAAACATTAGCACAACAATTAATCAATTATCCAATTAATGAACTGATTGACTGATCAGCTGTGGTGGGATGAACCTGTCAGGGGCCAATCAGTACATAGTACACAGTAGATTTACTGTCTCTTCACTGTGAACTCTCTGAGTTTCTTCTTCATCTTCATCATCTCCTCAGTGATCAGCTGAG